TCAGCTTGTCTAAAATGGCCACCTGCCTCATTGCCTGGGCTTGGCCCTGGTGCTCTGCCCATCTGGGCTCCCTGGAGCAGCCCCTTGGTCAGCCGGGCCTGCACCCAAACCTCTGCTGGGCCTCGGGGACTGGGGCTGGAGGGAGTTCATCTGGCTGCAGCATCCGTGGGGCAGCCCAGGGATGGCAGGGGGCTGGCTGGGCTGGCAGTTAGCAAAAACGTGTTCCTTGCTGTGGTATAAACTGTGTATGTAGGACTCGTGGCACGTAAAGAGCTGTGCTCACCTTCCAGAGCAGGTCTGTGCTCCCGTGTGGGGCAGAGCAGGCCTGGTGGGTCACTAAAGCCACTCTCAAGGCTATGGGGTTGTGTCCTCAGCTCTAGACTCTGCCTGCAAGCAGCTGGGAAGTGGGGGTGCTAGTTGAAGCCCCCCACTCTGGCACATGTTTCCTTGCTGCCTGATTAATGGGCTGCCCTCCCCATAGGGGTGCTGGAGCAGTGGGCCCCGGGCAGCTGTTGTTTGCTGCATTTTCATACCTGTTGCTTGGGAAGTGGAACGGAGTCCTTGAACACTCCTCTGTTGCCTGGTGTGTGTACTGGAGGGGCTGCTCCAAGGACACCTGTGCTCCCCCATCCCTCCAGGTAACCTGGCAGGCTGGTACTGGTAATAACAGGTTTTACACCTGAGTGCCTTTCGTTCAGCAAGGAGAGATCTCTGAAACCATGTTTTTTGCGCTCTCTCTGAGCAGCACGTGCTGTGCCTGTGAACTCAAGGACCTCGTTCTGGTCCCTGCAGGTTTTGAGACTCTGGACCAGGCCATCTTGTCCCACAGTCATGGCACCCACGCTGGCCACCGCCCACCGCCGGCGCTGGTGGATGGCCTTCACTGCCATCATCGAGAACCTGCTCTTCTCTGCTGTCCTGCTGGGCTGGGGATCCCTCCTCATCATGCTGAAAGCAGAAGGGTTTTATTCCTACCTGTGCTATGAGTCAGGTAAGGATGATCTGGAGACTTGTGACTAAGCTGCTGAGGTTTGCTGGTGTGATTGCTTGGCTTAGGGTGGTGTGGATCTGGCTGGAGCAGGGCTGAGCTCTGGGTCAGTCTTGGGGCAGAAGGAAGGGATGGGTGCTCCTTTCCAAATCTGATGGCATCCTTGTGATGGTGTAACGTGCCTGTCCTTGTTGTTGCTTTAAGTGAATGGAAAAGAAGCCTTAAAGATCAGGTGAAGCTTTCCTGAAAAGCCTTTTCTACCTTGAGTTCTTTCTCTGCATGGTGTCCTGGCTGATCTCTGCAAGGGGAAGGCCCAATGGATCCTGAAAGATGATGATCTGCAGGGTGGTTATAATGAGATTGTAGGAGGAAACTATGGGCACTTTTTCTTTGGTGGCAGGAAAGAAAAGGTCCTGGGTGAAAAAGTGATTGGAGGAGTCCTGTGCTGCTGTTGAAGTTGTAGAAGTAAATACTACCAATGTTTTATTCCTCTCCCTCTTCAGCACCCAGGATATGCTCAAACCAGGCTTAATCTCTGGAGATCCACCTTCTGGCCCAGACAGAGGAACTGGTCTGGGGAATCCTGCAGTACAGTAGGGTGGGCAGTGGAGTTCAAAGGAGCTTGAGTGTGAAGGTGTGGTGGATTTGGAAAGCTGCTTTAGTGATAGAGTGTTTGCATGTGCCCAGAGAAGGGAATAGTGGAGTGAAGAGAGGCAGGAGTTAGGAGTTTGGGCTCTGTCCAGGTGTGTGTGATGGTGGATGAGATGAGAAGGTGGATCAGCCCATTCAGGGCTGCTGAGCATGGAGCTGGAATGGGAAGAAAGAGGTGGAAATAAGAGCATGCACCCCAGAGCTCTCGGTAGGTAATGGCTGAGGGCAGTAGGGGAAGTGTAAAAATGTGTGGAAACAAAGTCCAAGCAAAGAGTGTGTGTGAACAGTTGTGATAATACTTTTGGTTTTTTTTCTTGTGTATCAGCTGCTGTTTCTGATCTGCTTTGCCTGCCTGTGGGCAGCTTTCTCAGCCTTGTAGAGCCTGGGTTGGTGCACCTGGCAAACATGCATGTGCTGGAGTCCTCTGACAGCTGTTGCTTGGCTGCTCAATTTCCTTCCTCTCCTCTGCTCAGTGGGATGCTTCCAAGTGTGTCTGTGGCAGTGTAGATCTCCAGGCTGGGCAAGGGAGAGTCCTCAGCTGCTGGAGACTGTTTAGGACTTCTGTTCAAGGCTGCTCTGGCCAAGCCATGGTGACTTTGTCACAGGCCTGTGTAACAGATCTCATTAAACCTCTCAGGTGGAGGCTTTTTGCCACTGAGATAAGACACATGAGGGCTGATAAGCAAATGCTGACTGTCTCCACAAGCAGCCATTTTCCTGTCTGCTTCCTGAGATGTGCCCTGCTGACAGGAGCCCTGCCTCACTTGGGGCCCACCTCCTATTCTTTGCTTTGATTGCTTTAAATTCATCTGCCTTTGCCCCAAAGCAGCAGATTCACCTTGGTTTCTCACCCACTTTGGCCAATCTGTGGTCTTTCTGGCTCTCTCCATAGGATTGTCTATGCCACCGACCACAGGGAAGATGCAAATGTTTGGACTGTGGTGAAATGGCTGTTCTGTGGGCAATTTCTTTCTCCCACTGACCCACCTGTGCCCTGAGGCAGGACAGCTTGAACTCTGAAAAGAAATTTATCTAGTCAAATGTTCTCATTGTCCTCAAATATCTGGCCATCACTGCTGAACTCAGTGAGGGCTTGTGATGAGCACCTAGGACCAGTTGTGCTGGTTCTCTGGTTCATCTGTGCTTACTTTCCTTTCTCATGTTTTTTGTGTGCTTTGTTGTTTTTTTTCTCCTCCTTGTAATAATCTCAGTGATTTGATAGGGAAGAGTCCTAGCTCAGAGTGTGAGGAGAGCAGACTCCCTGCATCTGTCTGCAGTGGTCACTGAACAGCCAACCTTCACCTTTTCTGGGATCAGGGTGACCCAGTGGTTGCCTTTCTCAGCATAACCTGCTGAATCCTGCAGCCCGAGCAGGTCCTGGGCTGGAATGTTGGTGCAAACAAATTATAACTGGTAGCCTTTGGGCACTTGTTGTTCCTGGTGCTGCTGTGTGTGTGTAAGTGTTGCAAAAAAACCTGATTTTTCCTAATGAGCCAAAGGTTCTTGGCAGGGCTTTTTGTTTGTCAGCAAAAGCTCTTGCACTTTGTGATGCCTTCCAGTGAAAGAGAAAACTAGACCTTGTCCCTTCTGCAGGCTCCTCTCTGAAGGTAGCAGCAGCTGCCCAGAAAGTGGCTGCAATTCATGAAGGGCTCCTTGTCCTCCTGTTGAATCCCTCCCTTTCCTTGCCTGCCCTTAGCTTCTGGTATTGGTTTTTGCTCAGCCACCCTGCACATGTGTGGGGTCTGCTGGACTCAGTGGTGTGAGGGTGAGGATGGACACCTAGAAAAAAATGCACACAACAGTAACATGTCTTTTTAAACAATTGTGCAACAGGGTTTGTGTTGGGGGGAGGGTTGTGCCCGTTCTAGGCAGCAGGTTTGGCCACATCCTGAAAGGTATGTTTGAAATTTGCTGACAAGGAGCCTGGTTGTGGCACTTTGTTCCCATTTTAATTTTACTACACTACTGCTTGGCCTTTAACCAAACTGAAGCAGCATCTTTCCCTGCAAGTGCTGATTCTGCAGTCTTTATCAGGATTTGGGCCTTATCAGCCATTGGGGAATTTGATCTGCTCAGGGTCTTGTGTTGCTGTGATGTTACAGGGACTGTGAAGCTCAGGGCTTGGGTCTGAGACATGCCTTTTTTTAACAAAAGGTAATCTTGAACTTGATAATCTGTTCACAAAGAGCAGAGATAAGGAGCCAGTTGAACAGAGACCCTTCCTTTAAGGCAAAGCTGCAGAAAACCAAAGGGATGATAAGCTCATTCCTTTACAGCAGGTTAACATGCCTTAACATGGGCACAGGGGGAAGGTGCTGCCTTACAGCTCTTTGCTCTTATTTATTTGGGGGCTCTGGTGAGGAACTTGCAGTCTGAAGGTCCCTCCCAAGCTGGTGAGATGAGACAACATCTTGTGGAAGGGCTGCACACACGACCCTATAAACAGGAAAAGAGTAAATGTGGTAAATGTTCAATTTCTAGAGGAAGCACACTGTGCTGAGCAGCAGCTGGGGGTAGTACTGGGGAGCTGCAAGGGAAGGTGCTGGCCCTGGGTGAGAATTGCTGCAAAACAAAACCACAGCTGGGCAGAGAATGGGAGCGGGGTGCCCAGAGAGGGGTCCTGGAAGTGCAAGTGGATGAACAGGCAGAGAGGGAGACTGGGATCAATTGCATTTGCAGTGGTATAAAGCAAGAACATCTCCTCCCAGTTCCCAGAAGTATGACACCATCCTGAAAAGAGAAAACATGTTCTTATGTGGGCAGACTGCAGATCAGTTGTTTGCACATGTCTTTCACGGATATTTTTTTTGAACCAATGTTCCCAGACTCTCTGGCCCTGATTTTTCTTTATTTATTTTAAAAAGAGGAAGGTGAGTCTGTGCAGGCTGTGTCCCCCAGATCTATTGCTGGGATGGCTGGGGGGGTCTTGCCTGCTTAGCTCAGTCTGAGCCATGAAACAAGATGAAAGGAAACCTCGTCTCTACCATCTGAGATGGCAGTCACTCCTGAAAGAGCCTGACTTGTTCCTCTGGTAATGTGGTGTATGCCTGGGATTTGAAGAGGTCAGCAAAGAGTAGTTAATGATTGACCCTCTCATGAAACCTACAGCTCTTGATTTGGGAGAAGGGATGACTTTAAATGTTCCAGTAACGGCCTGAACAAATCCCAGTGATGAGCTTGACATGAATGATTACCAAGGCAGCCTTCCTCTCACCTAACCTGTCAGCCTTTAAATAGTAACTTGAACTACTAATTGGGCAGTAGAAATCCTGCAGCTTGTAGGGGGAGTGCTGTAAAAATAGGCAGTATGTTCTTGTAATTGGTGATAAAGACTTGCAGCTTCTTCTGGCTTGTCAGTGGGAAGGCAGTGGAGCATGCATGGGCTGAGCCCGTGCTGCTGGCTCACTCTGGTGGCATCAGACCTGGCATCCTTTTGTGCATGTGGACTTGGCAGGAGATTCTGGGGAGGGCTCCACTGTGGGCACAGAGACAGCCCTTCCCCACAGCACTGCTGCAAATGGAGCCAGGCACATAGGAGACTTTAGCCAGCAGTGTGACATGCACTGATCTGGAACAGGATCTGAGCTGTGATTGAGGGAGCTGCTGTTTGTGGAACCAGGTGTCTTAGGGAGGTGAGTAGTTGGGCAGGTTCTCTGCCCATTAATCTCCTCCTGGCTGCATGTCATTCGGATGCTGCCACTTGCTCCCATGTCCTGGTGTCCTGCTGGCACATGGATGAGGTCGCTGGACCCTGTGCACTTTGCAGGCACCTGCAGCCCCTCCAAAATGTTCTATTTATGGAGGATCAGAAGGATGTCAGGGTGCCAAGGGCTGCTTGAATCATTTCCATTACGCCTCAGTAGATCTTCTCTTGTTGCTCAGGGGCTGCTTCTATTTTGACAAACAATTTGTATTTCCACATAGCACTGTTGCCTGGCCCCTCCTTGGAGCTGGCAACAAACAGCTGTAAACAAGGTGGTTGGGACAAGCAGGGACTGAGGTTTGGTGCCCTGTTCCCAGGCACCCTGGCTGCAGCAACCCCTCGGAGAGGGCCAAGTTTCCTTGCTTTTTCTGAGCTGTGTCCTCTCTGCCTCCCAGTGCTGCTGCCCACCCTGCCTGCCGTGGCAGGCTCTGCCAGCAGGCCTGTGCTGCAGCAGCTCCTTGGGGTCATGTTGCAGCCATAGATGTCAATAGATGAACAGTAATTGGTCTGCTTCTGGTTGAAATGCTGAATATTTCTGCTTTGAGATCCCTTCATTAGGAGAGTTGACAGGCTTTTTCACGTGTGCAGCCAGAAGTTATAAGGTCACTGCACTGTCCACATCCCTCCACCCTTCTTCCAGTCCACAGCTGAGCTCTCTGTAGAGTGCTGACACAGGGAAACCACTGCTACTTTGTCACTCCTTTTTTTTTTTCCCCCTTGTTTTCCTGAGTTTAACCTCTCACCCACATCTGTTTCCTATGAGTTTTCTCTGTGGGGAGCCCAAAAAGCCTGATGCTGTGGGTGAAGCTGTGTGCCTCTGCCTGCCTCGTGGAGATACTGCCAGAAGTCAGTGTTTAAGATCCTGGGACACAGCAAGAGGAGATTTTGAGGGAAAGATGGATGAGAAAGGTTGAGATGTAGTGTGTAAACTGCAGAGAGCCTCCCGAGTCTGTCCAGGGCTGATTTCTAAGGATGTGACTTGGGAGCCTCAGGCTGGAGTGCTGTCACTCCAGAAGAGATGCTGGTGGGACATGTGGCCTTTTGGGAATACTTATCTGTGGTTCTCTCTGGCTGTCTCCATGATGAGAAACAGGTCAAATTATTTGCACATGGCAAAGGGAAGGAACAAGCAGTCATCAGTGCCACAGGTAGTTTGAAACCCTTTAGTGAAGGTGTTGATGTGAGCAGTGTAAATGGAGAGAGGAGCTGTGTGCCCTCCCTGCAGTGCTGGGATGTGCAGAGGGGGTTTGCAGGCAGCTCAGACACCAGTATCTGAATTCCTGCTTTTTTTTGTGATTTGTTTGCAATGGACACAAAGCTGGCAGGGTTGTTTTGGCCAGTTAGGAGAACCAGGATGATACCAGTGACTCAACAGTGCTGAGGCTTGGGTAGAAGAAGGGAAGGAGCTGCAGGACAGGGCTGTGTCCTGAGACACAAGAAGGGCAAGAGCAGCCAAGGGGATCCCCTGCACCAGCTGAGCAGTGAATGTGAAATCACTTGGACGTGAGGGAATCCTGCTAATTAACTAACTGACCAGGGTTCACTGGGAATCACTAGTCTTGCTTCACGTGGCTGGTTATGTAGGTGACTTCTTTCTCTGTTCCTCCTTTAATATTGAACATCATCAGATCAATTATTAAATATGGAGGAGAGCATTTCATGTGGCTGGCTCACAGCAGCAGTGAGAAAAGCAAGTGCTTTGTCATCCCAGCAAAGGTTACTTATAAGTCAGATAAGGATTGAGAGAAGGAGTGGAGTTCTCTAGAGCTCTGAGTTAATAAAAATCTAAAGGCACACATGCTGGCTGTAGGAGCTGTTAGCCACCTTGGGATAGGCTGGGAAGAGGAGCAGAGTTGACATGGGGCAGTAAAACTGCTGCTGCAAAGAAAGGGGAACTTCTTTACTCTTTTTTTTAAAGTTGTTTCTCTGTTACACAATGTGGGCTCTGTTCAGCGTGGGAGTTTGCATGCAGAGCTCCTCATGTAAGGACAAGAACAGAACTGGAGATACAATTGATCTGTATGGCTTAAACCCCTTTGGAAAGAATAGAAAATGCTGATTATCGGGCAGAAATTAGATGCATCAGCCTGCTAACAAACAGAAGGCAGGTGAGCTGCCAGCCCTCCTGGGAACAGGGCAGTTAAATGCAGGAAGGATATTCTGGAGCCAGGGCAGCCAGGAAGCAGGGTGGCTGCTGCAAAGCCATCCCTCATCCTGATGCCTGCAGTGAGAGTGGGAAGCTTGTTGTTGGAGCAGCCTGGTGCTCTGTGCCAGGCCTTGTCAGCCCAGTGTCCTGAAATAACTGATTTGGCTGCAGTTATTGCTCCCACTTTAGTCAGGGAAGAGATTGGTGAGAACATGCCAGTTGTGGATTAGGAGGACCTTATTTTTCTATCAGTCCCTTCAGGTTCTGCTGGGTTTAGTTCCCTGCAATGGCCAGGACCTTGCTGTGTGTTTTGTTTAAATTGATTTCTGTCCTTAGGTGGTTATTCTGCTGCTGCTTGGGCTTCTTATCCCCTGGGTGCCTGTGCACCCTTTTCCTGCTCCCAACTGAGCTCATAATCATATTCCCCTCATCCTTCTGCTGCTCTTCTCTCCCTTCTCCATTTCTCACTGATGCTAATACAAAGTGGAGTGTGGAGGGGGCTGTGCCTGGTGTGCTGCAACTCTTCCCTTCCATCCTACTGCACTGCAGTGGTGACCCTCTGTCCCTCCCCCAAGCAGAAAACACCACCAGCAGCCCTGAGCAGGAGAACAGCACAGCTTCGGAGCACAAATGGCCTTCCTGCAACGCCCAGGATGAGATGCTGAACTTGGCCTTCACCATCGGGTCCTTCCTGCTCAGCGCCATCACGCTGCCCCTGGGCATCGTCATGGACAAGTACGGCCCCCGCAAGCTGCGGCTGCTGGGCAGGTTGGTGTGGGGCTGAGGGGAGAATTCCCGTGCTGTCTGGGGCAGATGGGTGGTGCTGTGTGGGTGCTGTGGCTGTTGCAAGGGTCCCCGCAGCCTCGGGATGGGACTGGGAGCTGCTGGCCGTGCACTGGAGGAGCCTTGGGATGACTGCAGCCAGCACAATGAGTTGCTCCGTGAGGGAAGGGCCTGGGACTCTGTGTCCACACTTCAGCTCTCCAGCTTTGCTCCCTGGCCAGATGGAGCCTGGGGGAAGAGTAGAGTCATTTGTGAGTCATGGAGGGTTAGCTTTTTCCTTGAGCTGGGAGCTATGTCCTGAGAGGCACACAACCAAGATGTTACATCATTGTTTGTGAGCTGGGGAGTTAACTTGGGGATAAACACATCCAGCCTGCCTCTTGTAGGGCCCTTCTGTGCCATGTGGTGTGTGTTCCTTTCTGCCTCAGTTTACCTGCTTCTGCTGTGGGTTGTAGGGACTAGGGACTTGGGGTGCACAGTGGACCCCAGCACTGCTGAATTCGGTACCAGAAACCAAATTGGTCTGAAGGCAGAGTGGTAAAAATAGGGCAAGTCTGACGTAGACCCTGCAGGAGAGGAGCAGGTAGAGGCTGTGGGTGCTATGACCATAAATGGGTCTCAGGATGAAGACTGCTGCTTTGTTTGGTTACCTCAAGGTGAGAAGACTGAGAAAGCAGGGAATTTGGGTCCAGCAAGAGTCAGTACTGGGAGGAAATGTTGCTGCCTCAGCCCTTGTGCAAGGTTTATCTGTAATACTTGGGTATTTCTCTGGATTTTTCTTTCCAAATTGCCAGCATCCCTCCCTCTTACAGAAATGATACCATGCTTGCTTAACAAGGTCCTGAGGAGGCAGAAGCATGTGTAATTTACTGCCTGTCAGGCTGTCTGCAGGAAACTCATGGTTTTGGTTCCCTTTCAGTGCCTGCTTTGCTGTGTCCTGTGTGCTGATCGCGTACGGTGCCAGCAACCCTGACTGTGAGTAGGCATTTCCCTGCTGAGCTGGGAGGGCTCTGGGGCTGTGCCTTGGGGTTTTTTGGGAAGCAGACATGTGAGCTTGGCACTGAGTGCTCTGTCACCCCTCCAGTGCTGTACTGGGGTCTTGCTGAGGACACAAGACAAGCATCTGCTGGCCTGTGGGAGCTCAGTGGCTCTGGGGAGGGCTGGTATCAATCATAGCAAAGCCAAGTGTCTGAGATAGCCAGGTCTCAGCATTTGGGCAGGGCCAGGTCCTCTAAAGGAGGAATTCCAAACATGTTCATGGCTTTTCAGGGTTGGGAAATAAGTAATAGCACATGGTGTGTAAGCAGCTTTCTCACCAAGGCTAGATGGGGGTTGCTCCTGAAGACCAGGTAGTGAGATGACACTTTGAATCCAGTTCCTTCAAGTAACTCTTTCTTTTAAGACCCATTTAGACAAGCTGCATCAGTAAGTCTGTTTATTAGAGAAAACAGACCCATCCATCCTGGAGAGAGATGATCCCATCCTGAACTCCCTCTTGGAGTACAGCCCTGACCCTGCCTCTCTGTGTGGCTGGGAAGGTGGGTGCTGGATCAGGAGCAGTGTGGCATGTCCCAGGGGTGATCACTGAGGTTTATAGTGTCAGATCCAAAGCCCTCAGGGCTCTGTCTCCTTGCCCTTTGCACCCCAGTAAAAGCTAAGGGCATTCTTTTATTGTTGCAGCCCTGTCTGTGCTGATATTCATTGCCCTGGCTCTGAATGGCTTTGGTGGGATGTGCATGACCTTCACGTCGCTGACGGTAAGTGAAGAGTTATTCCTTGGCTCTTTATTCCTTGCTGGGCCTGCCAGCTGGGCTAGCAGGAAAGAACAAAGTGGGTCTTTTGCCTGAGGCTTGAATAGCACATTTTTGTTTGGTGCGGAGGGTCAGCTACTCTTTTACCTGAAAGCCTGAGTTACTGGGTGGTTATTCCAAGGCTTTCTTTCCCCAGTCCTTATTCTTTTTGTACCTGCCCCTTGCATCTCAGGGGCAGGGGGAGGCTGGGGGAGGAAGGAAATGTTTTTGTCTAGGACTGAAATTGTCATTTGCCTGTATGTGCAGTGCTTAGCTGCCTGGCACAGGCTGGATGTGTGTTTGCACTGGACTGAGCACTGACATGTTGCAGGAAGAAGCAGCAGGGCACAACCCCTTGCAGCTGGGTAGAACCAGCTTTCTGCCAGCACTGTTTGCATCTCACCCCAGGAAAACAGCTCTTGAGCACAAAAGCTTTTGCTCTCAAAAGGGTGGGAGTCCCTCCTAGGTTTCTTTGAAAATGCTGTGTTGTTGAGTGCACCTGGGTGCATCTGTGCATCCTTTGTAGATATGTCTGCTCCATGGATTGTATTGCACGCATTGGTTACTAACTGTCAGCTGGATCTCTGCATTTTGGGGTTCTTTCTGCCTGGAGACAGAGGCAGTATCATCCTCCAATTAGCTGCTTTATTTTCTGCCTCATTAGCCTGATCCTTGTCAGTGTGGCTGAAACAGAGCTGGGTGGAAACTCCCAGAAAATAGTCTGGGAAGCACTGATGTTTCTTGAGCTGTGGCTGAAAACTCAGATGTGGACAGCATTGCCTTAAACTTGCTGTTGAAGTAAAGCTTTCTGCTAAGGTTACCTCCAGTTGAGCAGTGCTCAGACACTGGCTGAACAAGGCTCACATACTGGCTGAGCTCCTGAGACACAAATTTGGCAGGGACTGGGTTCAGAGATCACTGTGTACTGTGATCTTGCTGGGACTCTTGCTTTCATACATTTAGAGCTTTCAAAACTCTGTGCAGATGTCAGTCCCTCCTTCGTATGTAGTGTTGTTCTCTGGAAGCCTCTGTGGTCCCAAGGAGCTATGGTGCAAATGTCATCCTGCCACACTTGTAATAAAAGCAAGGAAGAGAGGAGCACATCAGTTCTGCTGTGGGAGAGGAGAGGATTCCCACCCCACTGCTGCCAGAATGGGTGCTTGTCACTCTGGATGGTTATTAAGGGGTCACAGGTTATTTTAGAGCTACTGGTGATAATAAGAGGGGGGCAAGGATAAGGCAGGAGTATATTGGATGTGCTGTTACTGTGGCTTTTAGCAGCAGAGGAAATAAGCAAAGTCACTTATTAGTGCCCTAATTAGGGAGCCAGTTCTGCAGCACTGAGGAAGTGTGGCTGCAGGAAGAGGTCAAATCTTCCAAGAAGAGACCCAAGCCTTGAGGAGGTCTGAAGCAAGTAGAGATGACACGAATTCAGAGGGAGAGTCCGGCCTCTCTGGACAGCAGTGTGTGTTGTGAAGAGCTGAGGTGGCTTCAGCCCTGACTTCTCAAATCCCAGTTCAAAAATAGTCTAAAGTGGGAGAGGAGCCCTTCTTCACCTGTCTCATGGTGTAGCTGTGGTGGGGACTGCTAAAAGCAGGTGTATTTTGCTCACTGACAGGTTATGGTGTTGTCCCCAAGTGGTTCTGCCTGCAAGCTGAGGTGCTCACAGTTGGTGTGTCAAGAACTTTGGTGACATGGTGATCTCCTGTGGGTCCCTTCCAGCTATGGCTCGTGGAGACAGGGAGTGTGGCAGGGCAGGGACATGGGAATGGCAGGTTCCAGGTGGTGTGGTTTGCAGTGTGCCCAGGAGAGGCTGAAGCTGGAAGGAGAGACTCCAAGGCAGTTTTAAGGACACTCATTCCAGAGAGGCAGTGAGCACTGCTCAGCTGCTGGTGCCAAGTGAGCTTGTTCTGGCTGACACAGGCACCAACCGCCAGGCACACACGTGCAGTCACAAGCCAAAGCAAGGTGACTTCTTCTGCCAGCTGTGGGTGACCTGAGGTGCTCCAGGAACTGGGTCAGACCCACTGGTGTGTGAGCTGGTCCTCTGCCTCTCCAGACAAGGGACAGTGGCTGTGAAGGGAGCCCCTGCAGCCCCAGGGCTTGGGATGCTCCTCAGGTGCTGCAGCTTCAGGTGCTGAAACCTCCCGGGACACCAGTGTGTGTGGGCAGGGTGTGACCTGATGGGAAGGCAGGAGAGAGGGATCCTCAGTGCCTCTGCAAGGGATGAACAGGACCTCAGAGTCCTGGGACAGTACTCCACAAAGCTTTGTCTCTTGGGTTTAAAGCCTTTTCCAGTAACAAGTCCCCAGGGGACCATAAAGCACTGGGCAGGCAGCAGAGCTGGAGCAGGCAGCCATTCCAGGGTGCCTTGCCTTGTGGTTTGGGGAGGAGGAGGAGTGAGCAAGTGGTGCTGTTCCCAGCTCTGGGAACAAGGTCAGAATGTGCCTGTTGTTAAAATGCAGAGGGGAGATTTCTGCCTCGTGACTTGTTTTTAGCCAATATAAGTGAAGATTGGAAATGGAAACAGATCTGTGTTGGTGGCTCTGACAGCAATGCAGGAATCTGGCGCTGGTTCTGCTCTGAAGCTATTTCATGCAAAGAAATAAACATGTGTGATAAATTACCACAAAGAGCCTTTTATAGATTGTTTTCTGCCCTGTTTTCCTTTCAAAGAATTGCAGCTGCCACGAGTACTGCCCTTTAATCGGAGCTGGTGGAGGGGGGGGGGCATCTTTGTGTAGGGGATCTTCTCTGCTCGGAAATATTAGGAAAACTTTGGGCTCTGTGATCTTTTGTTTGTTGGAGAATGGGAGCAGGGGTTTCCATATGCTTTGGACAAAGTAGGCAGTTTGGGGCTTTCCTGGAGAACATATTTTTAGTGTCTGTATAACTTGCAAATACACCCCCGATAGGGAAAACAAAGTTGTGCTGGAACAAGAAGTCTAGTTTTCAATCCTTTGACTTTTCCCACTGTTCTTTCAAGCAGCCCTTGAAAGAAGAGGGAAACTGGATTTGGTGGTAATGCTGTGATATCAGTTGTATATGGATCATTTTGATTATGCACCACTGGAAAAAGATGAAAAAATTATTTAAAAAATTATCCAAGATCTTAAATTCACTGTAGCTCAGATGAAAAAATAATCTGTAAGAGGGAATTGTTTTATCAGTTTAGTTTTATCAGCTTAACAGTCATAGGGTGGCAAAATGAAGTTACAGCATCTTTGGGACAGGTCATGAAGTTAATAATCCATTGAGTATTAGTGACCTTTAAACAGAAGGCATAAGAGTTTCTGTCCCCAGGTCCTGTGGAATTGGGGCTGTCACAGCAGCATGGGCAGAGGTTGGTGGAGGAGTCTGTCCTGCCCTGCAGGGATAGGATCAGAATGAGGATCAGATCCTTCTGGTGGCAGGAAAACAAAGAGCCCACTTGCTCTGTGGCTTGTGGTTTTTTTCCTCTCTATGGTTCATTTTTTCCAATATGTGCTGCTGTAAAGACAGCATGAAAAATGGCTTCATAAATATTGTGTTATTTTAGTAGCTGCTCTTTAGAGGAGACCTGCACAGGCATTGCCAGTGCTGGCACTTGCAGGCTGAGAGGCTTTCTGTTGGGGTATGGACTGCTTTTCCCCTTTGCCTCCCCTCTGCTTCTCCAGGTAGACTCAGATTTCTTCTCCTCTCAAGTACTCTGTTTGCAGTTACTGCTTTGATTGGGTTAGGCAAGACCTTAAATCTCCTATGCCCAATTTATTTTAATCTATCTGCTTGCTTAGTGCCAAATAGGCTTTTAGGAACTCTGGCCTTTCTAGGACTTCTGTTCCTATCGAGGCAGGTTTAGGTTTTCCTGGACATCTCCTGGTCAGATTTAGGTTTTCCTGGTTGCTCTCAGGCCTGCTCTGTGTCTCCAGTAGCCCCCAGAACAGGAGGATCCACCTGGGAGTTGCTTCTCTGTTCTATGAAAAAGGCTTTTTGTGATCTCTGGAGCTCTGGGGAAAACCAGTCTGAGCCAAGAAGCAGCTGTGTTTGTGGAGCTCTTGCCCTGCTCCCAGCTCCCCAGCAGGAGCAGCTGTTTGTTGTAATTTTTGGAGATTATTTTAGCTTTGGGTATTTGAAATGAAATGAATGCCCTGCCTGGTGACAGTGACTAGCCTTTTTACAACCTGCATGCACTGTGTTCTGCAGATGCTGTTTTCTGGGCTGTGTATTTAGGCCACTGCTTCCAAGAAGAGATATTTTTTTAATGCCTGGTAACAGACCTTTGGATCCTTCGCCGTTTCCTGCCTGCAGCTCCTGAAAGCAACCCCTTGGCAGCTCTCCCACATGCAGGGCTCTGGGGTGGGTGTGGGGATCCTCCTGCAGAGCAGTGCAGTGTTTTTTGTGCCTGCTGGGGGTTCACCAGCAGGCTGGGCACATCATTGCTGCAGCTCCCTGGCTGGGGTCATCTGAGGACCTGGAGACTGCACTGCATAGGAAGCTCTGCAGTGAGACAGAGATGATCAACAGCCAGATGGATCCTGGAGTGTTCCTGCACAGGAATACTTGCCTTGTAAACATGCTGCTCCTGCCATGACACAAGCCAGATCTGCTTGCCTTATATGCTGCTCCTGGGAAAGATGGATTTGTTTTTCAGCAGTTGGAAGGGGAATGTGATGACAGTGTTTGCTTGCTCAGGCTCGGCCTAATAGTCTCTGACTCATTTTGTTCAGTAGCATCTCTATAAAACACAAAATGCTGGGTATGTTTTCAGTCCTAGAAGGCATCTGCAGTGTCCTGCTTTGTGGTCCTCTGAGGCTGACGTGGTGGTGATGCCCAAAGTGAATTTGGGTAATAACTGACCCAAAAAAGGAGGTGGGAGGGAAATCTGCCTGCAGCAGAATCTCTGCCTTTTCACCAGCCTCAGAAGGTATGGGCTGAGCTCTGCAGCCTACAGCTCCAAACCTGCTCCCTGTAATTTCCAGCTTGCAGGCCATCATAAGTTAGGGGTGGAAAGTTGTTCACTTCTGATTGTTTAGAAAAACAGGGAGGTCCTCCTTTCCCAGGAGAAGGTCTCACAGCTCTTCCTGCCTCCTCCACCTGGCTTCTGGATCTGGAGTGGAAGCAGGGGCTGGAGAGCCAGCCTGGGAGTGCTGCTGCTGTTGACGTGGCAGAAGTGGCTGCTATGAGCTGCTTCAAGCTGTCCCTGGAGAGAGCTTTGTTTTCCCAACAGATCCTTGCAGAACCAGCCTGGTCTGCTCTGGTGGTGCCATCACACCTGATGGGAGCCTGCTTCTTGCTGCAGAGTTGTAGCTGCACAAGGCAAAAGAGCCTTGGATGTCTCATGTTGGTGATTGCCTTCCTGCAGCTGAGCCATGCAGCTGAAGAGCAAGGAGCAGCTTTAGTCCCTCTTGTACAGGCTGCTTTCACAGTAGTAGCCAGGGCCCTTACTAGAAATGGAAATGCAAACAGCAACACAGTTTGTGTTCCTTCTTGGTGTAAGAGGAACTTTCTGCTCTACTGCAAAGATTTAGGTACTGACCATGGGTGCATAAACAAACCTGGCAGTTCAGGGTGTTGCAGAGTGTCTTAGAGACTGTGCAGCTATCACAGCCTGTGTCTAACAACTGCTGATGAAAAAGAGGGTGATATGTGGAGAATTTGGTGTATTTTTTTGGTTTTGGAGAGGAAAGAAGGTGGTGGCTACAGACTTGGAGTAAGGAATCCTTAAAGAAAGCAGAAGGGCTGGAGTAAACACTTCTGTGCTAAAGTTAACCGAGGCACAGTATGCTGTCAGTCTGGAGAGCAGCAGTGTCACATCAATCTTGGCCTGTAGATGTTCCCTGGCACCAGAGACACCAATGGAACATCCTGAAAAGCCAAGTCATTCTTGAGTAAAACTGGCTGCTTTGGATTCTGGTATCCAGGAGTCTTACTTCTGAATGCCAGTATCTTCTAAAGAAAACTTCCTTCCTTTTCCTCCCTTGGCAGCAGCCTATTTCAACCCATTTTTCTTTCCCCAGCTGCCCAACATGTTTGGTGACCTGCGTTCCACGTTCATTGCTCTGATGATTGGCTCCTATGCTTCCTCTGCTGTGACTTTTCCAGGAATCAAGGTGAGGCTGTGGGATCGTGACTCATGACTGGTGTTTTGCTGGAGTTTTGGCACCGTTTAGCAATAATGTGGCAAGAAAAGAGGCACTGTTTGTTAAAGCACTTTTCTGGATATGTGCAAGATCCAGTTCCCGTCTGCTGAAGACTTCCCAAGTGATTGACTCAGGAACTCCACAAACACTGTAAAGAGAACAGTCTGTTTGTTAATAGACCTGCTTGTCACACAACTGTTCTTTGTTGCCACTTGAGTAAAACCCATTTTAAATGTAGCATGTTTTTCTTTCCCACAGCTTCCTTTCAGACTTCATTCAAAGAATACTGAAGTATATTTCTGCTCTTGTAGCCAAAACCATCTTCCCTTGTGATTTCCAGGTTATATATGACTTTGGGGTCTCCTTTATCCTTATTCTGCTTGTCTGGGCAAGCTGTGCAGGACTAGTTTTCCTCAACTGTTTCTTCAATTGGCCACTGGAGCCTTTCCCAGGACCAGAAGACATGGACTATTCGTAAGTGTCCCAGACTGACTTGGGGGTTAATCCCATCCTTAATCCTCTAGCAAGTGCTGGAACTGCTCATTTAGAGGCGTGGACAGGGAACTCCCTGCCTGTTGTTTATTGCTGCCATTCCTCTTAGGCTGAGGATTTATATCTGCCATTATCCTTATGTCTTGAGTGGTGAATATCTGAAATATGAACTTTCCAAAGTGTAGGAATGATGAAGGAAAATGTCAGTAGTCTTAAGTATTTCTATGTTGACCAAATTGGCTCAGGGAAAGTCTCTGTGCTCTGGATCCCAATGATCTGTGGGTTTGTAGGTGGAAACTAGTGCCTTGAACCCAATCCACATGTAGCCTTTCTGACTTCTGCAACTCTGCTGCCTCTGATTCCTCATCCTGTGTTGCAGCTGTCATGCTCTTTACTGCCCAACAGGGTGAAAATAAAGTTCAGCTGGCTGGGATTTGACCACAAAATCACTGGGAAGCAGTTTTATAAGCAAGTGACGACCGTGGGGCGGCGTCTCAGCGTGGGGAGCTCCATGAAGGGCCCCAAGGAGCCAACAGCTTTGCAAGAGAACAACAAGCTGTGTCTGTCTACGGTGGACCTAGAAGTGAAGTGCCAGCCTGACAACACAGGTGTGGTTCCATCAGAGCCCCAGGGATGCTTGTGCTGGCATGAAGCTGGTGGCCTCTCTGCTCCAGATCTGAGATAGCGATACGTGAGCCGTGTGTTGCCACATACCAGCCACCAGTATTTAAATCCAAGTTCAGTTTTATAAGGAATCCTGTCCTATATTTGCCTAAACAGACCATGTGGTGCTGCCAGTGGTGGGGACAACAGCACAGGTAACTGGAATGGCTACAGGACAGTGGAGTTGGTCACTGCTCTCTGTTAGACTGTTGCCATCATGACCAAGCCTTCCTTAATCAGAGGTAGGGCCAAAGCCAGTGGTTTGAAGCTTTCTTTTGCTCTGATCCACAGGATTGGGCAAGCCTTCCTGCTCCCTTGCCCCAGTTACTGGTAGCCAAACTCCCAGCATTTGTAGCTGTTCATTATGGGAGTTTAAGGCCACCAGGTAGTTGCTAACTGTGACCCCCTTAGAGCTGCCACTGGTGCGTGTTGTTGGATTGATTAGCCAGAGGAAGACCTGCTAACCCAGAGGCCAAAGCCTCTTCTGAAATTGTACATGTTTACAAACGTGTGTTGCTTTTTTCAGAGACTCTCTTGTTCTGTCTACAGCTTCTCCATCCTTCATGAAGAGTGTCTTCAGTCCGATCTTGTTGCTCAGCCTTATCACCATGTGTGTCACTCAGCTGAGGCTCATCTTCTACATGGGAGCCATGAATACCATCCTGGAGTTTCTGTCTGGAGATAAAGATCAAGGTAGGGTAACTGGAAGACTTCTTTCTGCTGCCTTGAAACTGGGACCTAACCCAGACTTGGTCCTTGCAGGAGGTCAGGGAGCCTGATTACTCAGCAGATACCCTGTATGTGGCCATTGGTGGTGTTGGGGCAGCTGACAGCTGTGGGGTCTAGCATGGGGCTGGAAGCAGCCCAGGACAGAGGGGCAGTGAGGTAGGTGCTTGAATGTCAAGCTAATTTTAGCCCAGTGTCTGTTAAATATTATTCCGTGCTATTTCCCCAGATGGTTTGTTGGAAGTGGCCTCTCAGGATGGACTGTGATCTTTCTATTTATTTTTTTTTTCAATTGGAAAACCTGTTTCATCAGGTATTTGCTTTGCTTATCCCAAGCAAGCACAGAGCAGAGGGCACATGACTCTCATGACTAACGACTGGACGAGGTGTCTCAGCCCAGCAACTGGAGGTGGGAGAAATGAAGTCATGGCTGTTTTGTGCAGCCTGGAGTGTGCCAGGGAGGCTCAGGCTGCTCACTGCTCTGCCCTTCTCTGTATTTATAGCTCTGATTCAGTACATGGAGCAAACAGGAAAGAGTACATTAGTTTACTGTTGTTGAAAATACCCAGGATTGCAAAACAAGACTTGGCTTTTTTTTTCCCTTCTGTCCTTTGTAGTAAGATCCAGTTTGAACTTGTTAAATCTGGATTGCATGAAGCTGATAAATCAACAGGCACTCCTCTGAAAATAGGAGTGAGCTCTGGGGGAGGGAAGGAAACTCCAAGTGCCCTGGCATTCCCTGAGTTGCTTTGTTCCTTGAGCCTTTGACAGCCTGCAGCATTCAGCTCTTTATCTCCTGGCTCAAGAGCCAATGTAGACATTAAACAGTAAACAGGACAAACTTCACACTGCCTACCTTTCCCAACACAGCTTATTTTTCTGCTTACCTTGTAACTCCTTCACACTGATTATTTTTTTCTTTTTACCTTGGCTTGTTCCACTTATTTCTGTCTTTCATTTTTTCCACCCCTCCTTGGTATTTCAGAATGAATATTAATTTTCTGTGCTGCCAGTTCCATTTAGATCAAGCTCTGTGTTTAAAAAAAAAAAGGGCTTGTGCCCCTTGGGTGTACTGGATTTTTTTTTTTCTATGCCACCTTTGGGATTTCTTCCCATTTTCCCCCTCCTCCTCCTCCTGCAGGCAGCCTGGGCTCAGTGCAATCTGCTCTCTTGGTGTTTCCATGGCATCAGCAAAACAGAGGGATTGTCTCCTCGCAGCAGTGTCAGGCTGCAAGAGCAGTTCCAAGATGTGTTCAGCTCTTTAGAAATGTAATCTGTGGATCAGGAGAGGAAGGGGAGGCAGCTCCCTTGCTTCAATCTTCAATCTTCTTGTTCAAGATCCTTGTTCTTCTTGCAGTTATTTGCTTGACCATGATTTGTTTAGAGAGCTCACTGGGCCTGCAGCTGCTCTCAGGAGCACTCAGCAAGGGAAGATATTTGAGTCAGTCCTGCAAGAGTTGTGGTCAGAGCCTAAATATTCCTGGGAGCAGAACAGGAGAGGGGGATGTGGGGAAAATCATTCAGCTAGGTAGTAGAGCCTTGAAGTTGCAGTGAGGCATTGTGTCCTTGAAAGTCCTGCTTCCTGTGCAGATTAGGGTGACCTGGAGCTATCATAAAACTTAGAGGTGGAAAAAGCAGTCAGCTTGTGGCTGCTTATCTTCTGAAAACCCCCAGGAGGTGGGGGAGAAGCCAAGGAATTTAGTAGCTCTGTAAATGGCTGTATAATCACATTGTAGGAAGGCAGGAGTGAGTAGACCTCTTGGTCTACTGGAATTTGGCTGCATCTCTTAAATTGCCACCATGCTTTCCACTCAGGTAATACTTGGAGCCCTTGGATAGAACCAGAGTGGGCTGGAAAACTCAGCCATGGGAGGTGTTTGCTCAGAGTGGCTTTGAGGGAAAGATGTGTAGAAAGTGGGTGTAAAGGGCTGTGCCCATGTGTGCACCCTTTGTCTGTTTGCTCTGCTACTTCTGCCATATCTACTTCTGTTAATTGCTAGGTATTGTTCCCTTACTTTTCTCTTCAGGAAAGAATGTGGGTTTTTTAAGATGATAGATAAATTGAGGAGGCCCTGTTTTGGAAAGACAGTAGCTGCTACTTTTTTCTTGCTGACCTTAGAAATTTCATTCCCTGCTTCAAGTTGGCTTCTGCCCTTGCTGTTTAGAGCCCAAGATTAAGTGTTCAGAATAGCATGAAGAGGCAAAACATGACAGCATGGCTTGCTTCTTGCCCTCTATTAAAAAATAACCAGAAGAGCAAATCAGCTCCAGGAGTGTTTGTTAGAGGGTGATGCCACCTGTCTCTCTGGTCTACAGCAGTGGCTATAATGAGATGGGATGTGGGGCCACCTCAGGACTTGCCTTTGTGGAGGTAATGGGGGCATGAATGTGAGGTTGGAGTTGGAAGTTCCACTTGGTTTCCTTGCCAGCAACTGGAGCCAGGAAAGTCTCATCAGGTGCCATCCCTGAGGACAGCAAGGCAGCCCTGCTAGGGTTTGCTATAACAGTATGGGAGAGAGAGGCTTGTTGGAAACTTCTCTCTACTCCCAAGTTGATTTTGGTATCCTGGCTGTACTGCTTTGGCTAGATCTAGAAATGCATTAGGAGAGACAAACTAAAATTCTTCTTTGTTTTGCTTACAGTGCTGTAACTTCTGAGCACTCAGTGCTGAGAGGGGCACTTTCAGGATTACATCTTTGGTTCAGAGCTGTGGGGACACCATGACTCACCAGCTCTTGTGTGTGGTCCTTCAGTTCCATCACGTGGGCTGCAGAGGGGAAGAGGAACAAGCATCTTAGGGTGGGGGAACTGTTTAGTAATGTAACAGGAGGGGACAGTTTCTTCTAAGTCTGCTGGCATCAGCTTTCTCTCAAAGCCATGCAGACACTTCTCCCATCTCTAACACAAGGGGAATTTTCATCAGTTTGAGTTTTTAATGATTGCTGCTCTCAGACACTGGGTTTTGCTGCTCATGTCCCCTCCCCTACCTCCAAACTTGTCCACTCAGCACAGAATGGGCTGGCTCTCACAAAATGGGCTAGACCTCACCTTCACAGCCTGGCTTGTCCTTGCTGGAGCCCCCCAGCTGGAGAAGATGTAGCTGCAGCTCCCAGCTAGGCAGGCAAGGTTGGCTGTGCAGAATATATTGCCAGAATAAACCTCACTGGCACTAAGCAGTTGCTGGGTCCTGCTTCTGGAGCCCTGCCTGCTCAGAGAGCTAGTGCAGGACCTGAATGGTTGAAGCAAGTGTGCCCAGCATGTCTACTCTAATGTCAATGCCTCTGGGAGGCTTAAATGGTCTAGTGGGGGCTCCCTCAGCCCTGCCATAAGCCCATGAGTAGGTGGGGTCTGGGCTCTTAATGAGAGAGGTGAACAATGGGAAGGAACAGTTTCTTGTCTTTTTTTTTTTTTTTCCTGTTCCTGCTGTGATCCCACTTGTGCTGGCAACTTCTTTGAAAACCTTTTGGTTTTTTTGTTTTTCCCCCTGCAGTGGCTCTCTACACTTCCATTTTTGGGGTGCTGCAGCTGCTGTGCCTGCTGACAGCCCCAGTGATCGGGTACATCATGGACTGGCGGATGAAGGAGTGTGATGATGGCACGGAGGAGGCGGAGGAGAGCGGCGCTGAGCGGTGCGTGCTGGGGACAGGGGACACAGCCCTGGAGCAGGGCCCCTCTGCTCTGCACTTGATGAGCAGAGGCTGCAGAGAATGTGGGCTCCTCAGTGTAGGAAAGAGTCTGAAGGAAGACTTCCTATATTGTAGCAGGGCAGGCTTAGATGTCCCTTCCAGCCTAAGCAGTAACAGCACTGACATAATCACTCAGGTGTACCTTAGCTTCCACTGGTGGAGATCCCACCACCTCCTCAGCCCAAACTGGTTTAGATGGAGTTCATATGATGTGTGGAGGATCTTGCTGTGAGTTCCAGCAGCTGCTGAAAGCCCTTTCTGTAACACAGCTTTTTCTGTCCTTCCAGAAGTGACAAGAAAAAGAAAAAGCGTGATCGTCAGATCCAGAAAATCACCAATGCCACCAATGCCTTTGCATTCACCAATGTCCTGCTGGTTGGATTTGGAGTCACCTGTCTTATCCCTAACCTCCCGTTGCAGGTGAGTAGGTGAGATGGGGGGGTTGTGCTGGAGGGGCTGGCAGCCTGGCTCCTGGCACAGTGACAGGCAGGGCAGTGCCAGGAGGCCCTGCAAGCCAGAAGAACCAGGTAGTGGCAGGAAGCTTCCTGGCACTGCTGGAAGACCTCTCCACTGCCTTGGGAAACCCAGTCTTAGGGTTGAAACAAATAGTCCCATGCAGTTTGCATCTCTTGAGAGAACCTAAAGAAGCAGCTCCAGTTAAAATGTCAGAGTTGATCCACGATTTACTCACATTTAGAAGTTCTGCAGCTGAGATGTGTAACAACAGCTGCTTTCCTGCTAAGACCCTCCCAGCAGTGCCTCTGCATTAACCTGGGCTCAATTCAAGCTGCTGATGGTCAGAAAACTTGCTGTACTGATCTATACAGCAGGTGATTTCTGCATCAAATATCGTACCCAGCGATACCTGTGGGATTATAAACCTGTTAAAATATTTATTTTGTGGCACCACCTGTTTTCAGCAGAGGAGTTTAGTGATTTTATGCTACACTTCAGCTGTGCTGACGTAGGCAAACAGACATAATTTGCAGACAATATGCAAGTATGAGCAATAACTTGTGGAAAATTAACCGAGTGGGCCCATGAGCACAATGAAGAAGCTTTTTCACCCTGGCCTCAGGTTGCTGGCGTGATCTGCAGTGCCATCTGCTAGTGAGATGTGGTTCCCCTCGGGGCACTATGTGTTAGCCTTGGCAAAGTCAGGAGAAGCAGTGCTTTTGGATGCTGCTGATCTGCCAGGGTTTGGTTCTGGGTTCCTTACTAGAAAGGAGAGGAGCTTTTTTAGGAATGGTTGTATGTTGGGGTCTGGCATACCTAGGTGGCATCTAGGGGGTGACATTTTTCTGCTTCTCTTCCCAGATTCTTTCCTTCATTTTGCACACAATTGTGAGAGGATTCATCCACTCAGCTGTGGGAGGCCTCTATGCAGCTGTGTAAGTCTCTGCTTACCTATAATATATGGCCAGGTTAACTAGGATGGGATGATAAGCTTTCCAGGTGAGAAGATCAGGAAGTGAAGTCCTTGTGGTCAGAGGGGAGAAATTACACCCTCTGTTTGCACTGGATCAAACAACAGTAGCTGGACTGAAGTCCTAGCAGATGCTTGCCTTGTTTAGGAACAGCTAACCCCTTTGGCACAGCTACTGCAGTGAGCCAGGCACAGCTGTAGATGGGCCTCAGGTGAGACCAGGCTATGGACACCAGGATTACATAGTAAAAACTCAAGGCTTTTATATCTTCTAATGAGTAGCCACCTGCATGTGTCTGGGTAAAACATTAACATAATTGAATACATTGCTACTGGGCTGCTCTGAAATTACATTGGTAAAGCATTGCTTAAGATACCATTAGTGATGCCTACTCCCTTTCCCAGAACAGATCATCCATCCTGTTTCCAACTTATCAAGATTATCAATAGCTGAATCTAATACTCTTCCTTAAGTAATGCTTTTGGTTTTGAAAGTCCTGAGCTGTTGGGCAGAGGGACAGAAAAAGCTGTCATTTTTCAGAGAATCACAGAATTGTTTGAGGTGGGAAGGGACCTCTTGAGACCATCTAGTCCAGCCCTCATGCTTAAGCAGGGACAGCTACAGCAGGCTGCCCAGTACTGCATCCAGTTGGGTTTTGACTATCTCCATGGATGGAGTTTCCACAATTCCAGATGCCTTCTTTCAAAGATTTTGGTCCCTGTGTCTGGGGAATCCAGACTAGAAAACCCATGTAAGATTCTGCTTCAAAAATGCATAAACATTTGGCTCCCTGGCAGCTAGAAGCAAAATATTTGTCCTAGGCAAGGTAAATACCTCTTGCTGTGCATATCAGTTTGCTCATAAAAAAAAATCCTGTTTGACCATTGCAATTCTCTGGAACTTCCTAGAGGTATTTTTGCTTTGTGACTTCTTTGAATATTTGAAGGCTTTGACCCACTTCTTTCTTTCCAAGCTTAGTTTAGCATAATCACTGTTTAACCTCTGCTCAGTCATGGAAAGATGCTAGACCTTTCCTGAATTTGTTTTACAAGTAGTAATATCCTGATATTCAGGCCTTTCCTATCAACAGTATCTAGTTTGACATAGGATCAGACTTGTCCTCTAAAAAGGAAGGCACATGCTAACCTGTTGTGCAGGTTTCACTCACTTCTAAAGGGAGCAAATTGTTATGACTGGATGAAAATGATTGCTCAGCTGCAAATGCTGTCATCTGGAGCAAGAGGCCCTGCTTTTAAATTGTAAATATCAACACTCTTCTCCCTTTGCAATAGGAACAGTAGTTGTATAACCACTTCCACCTGCCTACAGTGCAGCTGCAGAACAAAGCAAGTGCTGGATCTGGTACTTCCTAAGTTGGAGAGCTCAGGATGAGAACAGCCTGGGGAGGAAAGCTCCAGCCTTGGCACCAGCTGTGCTCTGCCCTGGCCAGCACTCTGCACACCACTGGGTTTAGCTACAGCCTCTATAAAAAGCGGTAGTTATACCTAAGTTTAGGAGAGAGAAGTTCCTCGTGTTAAGCCTTCTTGGAACTCTGCTCTGTGTTAGCTGGCTGGGAATGTAACCTGAGCTGGTTGATGTGAACAGTCAAGGTGACATATAATAATGCCACTGCTTTCTCTGTTGACAGATACCCCTCCACTCAGTTTGGCAGCTTGACAGGGTTGCAGTCGTTGATCAGTGCCCTCTTTGCCCTCCTGCAGCAGCCTCTCTTCATGGCATTGACAGGACCTTTGGAAGGAGACCCTCTCTGGGCAAGTCCTTAAAGTTAATGTGAAGGCTTGGTGGTTAAGATGATTTTGGCTTGTTTCTTTGAAAACAAAAGGACTCCTGTGCATGGACCAAAGTTAAAAGCAGCTGGAATTCTACATGTTCCACAGTCTGCTTTACCTTGGTGCTGTCCAGGAGACCTTTCCCTGTGTGGGAAAGGAGTCCCTGGCAGGGAAAGCTGTTAACCCTTGTGCTGGTGTGTGGGAAGGGAGGAGGGGAAAAGGCTGCAGGAGTGTTTGCTGCTAACAGTTTGAGTCAAAATCTGTCAGGTAAAAGTGAGTGAACCTCACTGTGTGGACCTCAAAATGCAGTAGAAATACCCTGTTCTCCTGGGAACTATCAGCTCTTATTACCAGTAAATTTTGGGTTGCCAATGCTACTGTCCGAAAAGCCAAGTGGCTCTGGAGGGTAGGGCTGATGTGGTGTCTGAATGACTGCCTGGGCAGTTCAATAACATCATGGCATGGGTTGTCCTGGGGAGAGTCCTGGTCTCTAGGCTACATCTTGCTCTTCAGTCAGCAAACTTGGTGTAAAAGACCTGCAGTTTGAACAGCCCTTCCTGTTCTGTGGAACAAAACTCCTGCAGCCATGGTTCAGAGAGAAACATTCTTGCAGCATTTAGCTTGTACTCTGGGCCCAGGAGTGTAAATATAAAGACATGGAGGCTGTTGCCAGCACACCCTGAGCAGGGGTGTGCCCACACTGGGTGACAGGGGCTGGGCTCTGACACTTCAGCTTACGTGGCTGGGGTGTCTTCCATGCCTGCCTAATTTTTGTCTCTCCTCCTGCAGGTGAACGTTGGCTTGCTTGGTGTGAGCTTCCTGGGCTTCTGCCTTCCAATCTACCTGGTCTGCTACAGACGCAGGCTAGAGAGGGAAAAAAAACAGAAGATGGATGATGCCAAACTTTTCCTCAAAATTAATGGCACTCCCAATGAGGAAGCCTTTGTTTAAACTGGTGCTTCAAGTAGAACCTCCCCTGTACAGGTTCCTACCACATCCGTGGGTTCTACCTGTGGTATAAGCCAGGCTTTTTCTCTCCTGGCTCTGCCGTCTTTGCTTCTCACTGGAGTGAGGGCTGGACATCATGACTGAGCTTTCCTCAGATGGATGGCAGGAGGAGACTTCCCACTCCTCACTCCAGAACACAGGACACTTTTCTTTTATAAAAAGGCCACACAGGTATTTTGTCTTAAAAGCTCCCCTGATCACACTCTACAGTGGCAGAATCTCTGCTAAGAAAACTTGGGAGAGAAGGAATAGAGGGATGGGGGAAGAGGGAAGAAAGCCCATAATTGGAGTTTTCAAACCTAACACACTGAAGTCTGTTTTCTCCCCCTCTTCCCCCAGCCTTGGCTGACATGGGCTGGGGTGCAAGCTGCACTCTCCTCCCTCCCTGAGGCTCCATAATGGTCTTTCTGCTTGATATGCAGGTGGACCCAGTGATTTTAACTGTCTCTCCAGACCTACCCCAGCCTGTTTCTGAGGCAGGGAAGGTGATTTTATTCCTATGTGTATGAGCACAGCTTCAGTGTATTGCTAAATGTTGGCTGCTAGCACTGACAGCTCTCAATCCTTTTATTACTGCAAATGACACAGACTGTGAGCAATGGATCTGCCTTCCACACTGAAATGAAGAGCCTAGTGGACTGCTTGGTCCTAGACTAAGCCTTCAGAGGCCTGGAATTCTTCACAGCCTGCAAACCACCTTTGTGTGTTAAACTGTCTGCAGTTCTGGAACCTTTGAGATAGGAATTGGATCTTGTTTACCAATGAAGTGCTTTGAGACTTGTTGCCTTTTGCCTCTTCTTCCCTCTGACATGACCCTGGGAGGGGAGCAGCAGCATGTATTTAGTAAAGTGGAGAAGGTTCTTGAAGCTGAACTCTGGGGCTCCAAACACCTTGGTGTTCACATGGCATGAGCTGACTTGCTGTTGAAAAGAATCAAGAGTGCAGAACACTCCTTTGTGTCTGGTAACTGGATCCTGTGGACATGCAGCAGGGTGATGTGATGTAATTCCTCCTCTAGCCATAGCTTCTTTACCTTCTTCTGTTGGTTGCCTCCAGGCTGCTGAACACCAGGTGACTGTGACTGACCAAAAAGCTGCCAGTTTGGCTGCATTAAGAGCTTTCTCTGATGTCAATGCTCTGTCTGGACAGAGCACATGGTGATTGATTGTATGGTGAGGCTGACTTAGAGCAATACGTGTGTGTAAAGGTGCCCCAGGCCTGTTCACCACTGAGGGAATACAAAGGGAATTCTTAACCTGCTTATTTTTATAGTGATTTTTCTGAAGTTTTGTCCAAAGTTGACCTTCTTGCCCTTCACCTGCTTGTTGAGGTTGGTGGCTCAGGCTCTGTAGCCTTGTGGCTAGTGGACCCGCTGGGAGCTGGGCTGCAGTGGTGAGGAGGGTCAGCACTGGTCGGTGTGCAGGAGTGTCCATCTGGGGCTGGGCTGGTGCCTGCAGGAGGTTGGGGGCAGAAATCCAAGGTAGGAAGATGCAGTGGTGGTCCTGTCTGCACTGCCAGCTCCTGCAGAGCCTGGCAGAGGTCAAGTCAACTTCCTTGGTCAGAAAAGTACAAGACTCTCTCCTGTGAGGTCTCAGCTGGAGGTTAGAAACCACAGCAAAGTCAGACCTTTCTGTGAGGAATGACCTGGAAAGTGGGTGTTAACTCCCTTGCTGGAGCAGGTGGATGCTCAGCCCAGCCAGGGCTCTCTGTACCTGCCCTGAGCAGGCAGGGGTGGCAGGGCAGGACAGCCCCGCATCCCTCTGCTGGCCGAGGCAGCTCTGCGGGGCAGCAGCGCCATCTCGAGTCGCTGCCTCCTGCTCCACCCTGCGGTACCTTCTAGTCTGGTTGCAAAAATGACACTTGAGAGTATTTTACACATCTGTGGATTTTTTTTTTAATGTCTTGCCTTTATTAAATGTGTTTATTCCATGACAGCCTTCTTACCTGCTGTCAACACTTGACTCTTCTGGAAGTCCTTGGCTTGTGTTGGTGTCCAACTTGATCTAGTGACCTTCCCAGCTTTTAGTTCTTTTGTGTTGAGCAATAATTAAGGGGGTAGAGTTTTGATTAACTTTCTTGTTCACCTGGCCTTGTCTGAAGTACATTTTGGAAACCCACCAGCAGTAGTACAGCTTGCCTAAATTTCCAGAGGGCTTTCTGCACGTTTCAGCATTTCATATCACTATGACTCCTAAATCCTTAGAGAAGATTCCTTCTCTTGCTTGGAGATATTTGTGACATAATATTGACGGACTAAGGGTTTTTTATTTCTTTTAGTAAAAGCTCAGGCAGGCTGTGTCTGAGTCAGTCCTCTGATTCACACTATCTTAAAATAGAGACAGCTGTTGGAAGGTGTCAGTGTGCTAACTCAGCATTGCTTCCCCCTCAGTTTCAGAACACTGAGCAGGGTAGCTTCCACTCTGATGTCACTGGAATTCCTGATCTAAATGTCTTGCAAAATGACTGAACACAGAGTAGCATATTTTCACAAAGTAGCAGTGGAGATGCTGCTGCCCTTGGAGTGTACGCAGCTCAGTGAAACAAAACAGCCTTTTATTCCTGCCATCTACCTCTGTCCTGCAGTTCCCCCTTGCTGCCCTTTATTAGGAATATAACACAGTTTCACCTGGTAAAGTGGTGGATCTATGTGCACACTGTCTCTGCTGATGTGCCCTGGTGTTCAGAAGCTGCCGGTCAGCTGTGAGGAAGAGACTTCATGCCTTTGGGTCACAGTTTCAGGCTCTGTTTGCAGCTCGAGGGTTGGGTTAGGTTAGGTTAGGTGTGCCTTTGGCTTGCAATCCCCAGGGATGGTGGGGAGACAATGAAGTTTTGGGGTAAACAGGAGTGCTTTCTCATGCAGCACAATGTCAGCTTGTGGGGAACAGAGGTATAACTTTTTTTTTTTAAAGGAGCTGGTTAAACAATGGTCTGATGCATCCACCAACTCAGGGAGATTTTAAGTTGCTGTAAATAAGGAAGTTATGCCAAGGAAAGATTGCTTTTCTACAATTGGTCAAAGATGGAGAAATTACATGCTGGGCTGGGTGAAAGACTGATTTTGTGGGGTTTAATTTACTCTTGACTGTTGTGAACGAAACTCATCTTAAACTTTGCCTCTACTTTGTCAATCAGAAAACTGTCCCTGCATGCAAGATGTGCAAATACTGTACTGAGTGTGGCAGAACTGCCTAAAGACTGCAGCTCCTGTGGGAGGGAGCCCCTTGGAGGACTGTTCTGGCTTCAGCCTCTGGAGGTGTTGTCTTGCACAGTGCAGAAACACAGACTGTTGGGATGGTCCTGCTCTGTGTGATTGTGGGCAGCTCCCTTCATTCTTTGATGCTTGTGGAAATGTAGATTGTTTACATTTAGAGTGGAAAAACAGCATCACTGCTTTGTAGCCAAGTGATGCAGGACCAAGCAATCTCCTGATGCACCCTCCTTTGTGCAGGAGCCACCCTGTGGAAAAATAAATGGGCTACCAAAGAGCAAAGTCACGTCTGTGTAAATAATGGATTTACCTGTAGGGCTCAAATCCAGGTCAGTGTGTTTCACTACTTTCAGAATTCCTGAATGCTACAAGTTGTAGAGTTGTTGTGGTTTTTTATGCCCAGTGTACCTCCATACCCTCCTCCATGTCAGGAGGACAAGGAGGTTGGTCATGAGAAAGACCTCATCTCCTTAGAAGCTTCATCCCCAACAGAACATAATGAAGCAGAAATCTGATCTGAGAGTCCTTGCTACTTGTGGGAGGGCTCAGAGCCAGGGGTGTTGATGTGAAGGTGGTTGCACCCTCTGGAAGCACTGCCCTACAGACCCTCATGTGTTTGATATGCATCTGCATTTTAAAAAAAACCAAACAACACATAAATTAGAGTGGAGGGGGATGACAGCTTTTTCCTCCACTAATATGGCAGCAGCTAAACCCTGTGGACACATTTTCATAGCACTAATGCAAAGATGCTATCAAGTAACAGAAAATCTGTGCTGCTTTGCTGGACAGGACACCTATAACTTTATTCAGTCACAGTGACAGGATCCTTGAGACAAAACTGGACACGTGTCTGCAAAACAAAGAGCAAATCTTGCTGAGACTCAGATTTAACTGCAGTGCTGCCACAGGCAGTGACATGTTTTAACTCCCACAACAAAGCCTGGACTCTTCGTGCTTTGTCTACAAAGGAAAATTGTAGCATAATGAGATTTTAATGAAGATGTTTTAAATGAGATTTCCTTCTTGCTAGGCTCATGAATTTGGAAAATAGGCCACAGAATGTAAAGCAGATAATGGTAAAGGGTAAAAAGAATGAAATCTTTAAACTGCAGACTTTATTTTTTTTCTTTGAGTCTTTGATGCATATGCAGAGCATTGGGTATTCCCTGCATCCCAGTTTAGAAATGCAAAGTACTCATAATGGAAACTAGAATCACAGGAGGATTCATGATGGGAAGCCACTTCTGATTTATATTTCACAACGTTATCTTCTTTGGAACAGCTGTAACAATGCTGTGCTTTGTGGTTGCATTACATGTTAATGATGA